CTTGGAGCTTACTTACCAGGCACAATAATTGTATCATTCTTCATCCAATAGTTGATGGACTTTGGATATGCTTCCGATTGGCATTCGAGAGAAATGTTCTGTGCCAAAGCGGCGCCAACTAATTGATTTTGTATCCAAATCATTGGCGGAACTATAAATGGAAAAAGTTGAAAAGTCAGTCAGAGTAGAAAGAGAGAGCGAGAGAGAGAGTGAGTAGGAAATAGTTACGTGTAAAAGCGGAATGTAATTGTAATGGCAGCTCAACAATGTGGCTCAAACGAATGCAATAGAGCTCACAAACTTTATATACACATATATACATTGTATACATATATATTTATACGCACACACACTCACTCTCACACATACATAGCCAGTTAATGTTGTGGCATGTGAGCATGAGCCAAAGGTATTCGCATTCATATAAAATTCCATTTGTTATTGTTTGCCAATGCGATTTGTTGCGGTTTGCCCTCTTTTATTTATCCAACTAATTGCTTTTTAATTTTTATTAGAAAAGGGGAAGAGGGCGAGAGCGGGAGAGAGAGGGAGAGATAGGGCCAGCTCAGCGTTTGTTTATGCCCGGATAAGTTAAGTTGCTTTTTGCCATGGGGCTTAAATGGTTCACCTCAAGTCTGCCGGCATTTGGAATTTACACGAGTATCCAGAACATTTTTCGAGCGACTAAAGTTGCTCCGCAAATTGTTGAGCAACTTAAATTTTTATTTAATTAGCAGTGGTGTTAATGCAAAGGGCGGGGGGGAGGGGGGCGGACTGGCTGCACTGCAGAGCGTAGCAAAGGAGCGCTAAATATGCTAACTAGCTGGGGCACACTTAATTATTTACTTTATGCATGGCACCTAAAAGTATGCAGCCAGACGGACAGACAGACAAAGCGCCAAAGGGCGAGAGAGCCAGCTAGAGCGAGGGGGTGATGTAGAGGGGAGGCGGAGTTGTTTGTGCTACTCTCAGGCAATATTAAAATGCACAGCATATTTTCTATGGCAAGATTTGAAGTGGTGCTTTGTGTGTGTGTGCTTGTGTCTGTGCCACAGTCTGCAGCACATTGCTCATACGCCACCGTCACACAGACGAGCAGCTACAGAGAGATGCCATGCGGCGCTCTAGCGCAAAACTATAAATATTTAAATATGCAAAATTGATATGCACCCCGGCTGAAGGCAACACTTATTTTCCATACCCAAGCCCACCGTTTCCCCTTTCCCCATTTCCCCATTTCCCAAATACTTACAGTGCACAATGAGCATGACGCGTTTGCTAACGGTTGGCGGTATGCCATTGGAGGCAATGCAGAGATAGGCGCCCATATTCAAGCGATTCACTTTGGCGATGGTCAGAAACGAGCCATTGTATGCGATTGCTGTAAATGGAGAAAGACAAAGCAAAGAGAGGGAGAGAGAGATGGAGAGAGTTAAAGGCATTATAAATCAATTAATTGTGATGTTAAATAGCTAAAAATACAATGCGATTCTTCATTCAATTTCGTATTCAAGGATAATGCT